AAGGTACCCCTTATTTTCTGAAACTCCCATCTAGACATTTCGAGGGTCTTGATTCTAAGGGACATGGGGTGTGCTGGCAAGATCGCCGATCTTTTTAAGTCTCGCCAACGTCGGTGCCAGTGCGTTGTCTAGTGGCCCCCGACGTTGAAGCCGCTGCAGCCCTTCCTTAGCTCCATGTGACTTCTAGGCCCTTCTCATCAGGTAGCTCCATGATCCTTGCAGCTCAGCTGCATCTTCGGACGGCAGTGCTTCTTGACGCAGCCCGTGCAGGCAGGGCTGCTGTCGCTGCTGATGCACCTAGCTATTCTGTGAGAGCTTCGTTAGACAGGGGCATGCTCAAAGCGACACCGTGTCGAAGCATCCGACAAGCCTCCTCACGTGGATACGATCTAATTCCACCGAGGGCGCTGGTTGATGCAATTGTCGCGGGAGCAGCCCACGAGCTGGGCCATGCAGCCGGCGCAACCCGCGGAGTAGCCTGATACTGAAAGCGCGAAACTGCAAGACTTTCCTATAATTACGAAGTAACGGTGGCGGTGTTCTTATGGAAATATGCTGCCAAGAAGCCCTGCTTCTTCATGCAGTCCTGGGTGCACGGGATGCCTGCTGCACAAGAGCGGCCGCAGTGGTTCAATGCCGAGTCGAAGCTCCTCCTGCCGCCGCTCTTCCAAATCTTGAGGTCTGTAGGGTTCTGGCACTTGCCGCCCTCGAGCTCCTCATCGAGCTGCTCATGAGCCTTGACTTCAACTTCAGTCTCGTCTCGGATCGCCTCCAAGTAGTCGACCTTCATTCCACGGAGCTGGTGGAGCTCCAGGCTGCAATCTCCGCCAGCGGTGCAGGTGTCATCAACAGCCATCGCAGCTTCGATGTCCTCGCCACTTGCAGTCGCGAAGGCAAGAAAGGCCACGAAAATGCGAATGACCATGTCTCGCCAAGGGTTTCTATCAGAGCGAAATGTAGAGCACTGTCACACTTGCAAAGAAGCCAATAATGCTGGAGCCGATGCATGAACACATGGCCTAGGTCTTGCCCGAAGGTAATTCTGCGCAAGTGACGAAGCATTTTAAAGTTCAACTTGAAATCTCCGAAGGTGGGCAGTGTCGGCTCTTCTCTCAGGAGAGGCTAAAACAGAAGCAGAACACACTCATCTGTAGAACCTGACACCCCCAAGTGCGCCACTTCGCGAAGAGCAAAGAGCCCTGAGAATGCACTGGCGCGATCTGCAGAACTGGGAAGCCCGCCCGGCAGATGCCTTGCAGAAAGCTCGGATGAACTCGAGAGTCTAGGTGGGAAAATGTGGTTAATGAGTAGGATTTAAGGGGCGTAGATATGAATTGGTATCAGCACTCTTGGGGCTCGACTTCAGTGCCTTATCTAGACTAGACTGAAATGCAAAAGCAGGCAAGAACCCAAGGTCAAGGCTAGGCGCCAGGCCCCCCTCCAACCCCGAACCCCCACAGCTCTCAGCCCGAGTTCGTCTCGAGGTCCCATTTGGGGCCACTCAAGGTCCCTCTCGCCTCGGTGCCACCTTTGTCAGCCGCTGTCTTGTCAGTCGCATCTGCTTTGCCAGGCTTCCTGGCAGACTTGAAGCAGCTTGAAGTTCTTGAAGTTCACATGGACTTCAACCGGCATTGACTGTGCGCCAGAGAGTACAGTGACCCAGGTGAGGAGGTACACAGAGGTGTTGGTTTCGGTCGGGCATTGCCATGTGCTGTCTGAGGAATGGAAGGACCACCCTAAGCCATGTTAGTATAGGCCCTGAAGACCTGAGAGTGGCATGAGCACAGCTACATGGCTCAAGAGAGCCCTACCCGCGAGCAAGTCAAGTTTGAGATTTTCGGGCTCATTGCCATGAGGGCCAGCACGAAGTTTACGCACGGGTATAGGATGTAAGCCCTAGGCTACTTGGCCCATTGCCCCTCCCTCCCTCAATCTGTATATCCAAAAGGTTGTGCAGCTAAAAGGTCCTCAAGCTCTGAATTTCAGAACCCACAACCCTAACTACATATTCGCTCAACTCATTACAGCAGTAGTTAGCCCCAAACCCCTTAACTACGGAGAAACAGCGCTAAGTCCAGAGCCTGCTGGAGGCCTTCGACTTCGCAGCGGCCTCCTGCAACTGCCAAGGCTTCTGTGGGCAGTAAGTTATACCTGGACCCTGAAGAACCTACCTTTGTAGGGTTCCTTATCATGAATTCTTTATGTAAGTCCTTAAACGGGTAGGTTATTTGGGGTTAAAGTACGTATACTGATTTACTCTGGGGCCTTTAAGCTACGAGTACTAAAGAGTTGTCGACAGTAACATTATGCTTTGCTGTCTCGGCTTGTTGCTTCTTGGGTTTGTGGTTCTAGGGTGCTTGTGCTTTTGCGCGTTTGCCGAGGCGGGCTGCGAAAACCGAAACAGCGGATATTTTGCGAGGTCAACCCCGACATCAGCACACCAAAATCCCGATATGCCACAAAGCTACATTGTTGCATGCATTTCAGAAACCCATGGCTTCTAGATTGAGACATAAAATCAAGGCAGTGCTTCCGAGCTCAGGTCTTTCTGGCCTGGGACACGGTCCGAGTTTTAAGCAATATGACAGGGAGTGTATCTGGAGCTGACAGTGCCCTAAAACGCTTCGACCCAAGCGCTTGAAGGCTTCCAGTTGCCATGTTAAGCATCGGGCGCCCCATGCTTAACGAAGGAACCCTCTAGCGAAAACCGCCTGATGCCCCGACCTGCTGACAACCCCCGAGACTACTAATACTAATTCGAGCCATTCGAGCTCCTCTTTGGCCCCAGCTTCTGACCTGAGCCCGACAATGCTGAATCAGAACTTACGCCGAGCATAGGCAGGGTTGGATTCTGAAATGTACCACCATGACGATAATTTAACATGTTACTTATAATTTATCGATACTGCTGCAGTGTTGCTGTTAAATATGTTGTGATGCATTATGCTTGTCTTCCTGCCGTTCTCTGACGAGAGTTTGCCACTTAATGTCACCGCATGTCGTGTCACGCTATTTGTTCCACTTGTTGTTGCAACCCATGCTGCGCTTACTAGCTGCCGCCCGTCATTGAAGGCATCGTCTTAGACGCGCATCTTACCTGCACGCACACGCACGCACAGACAGACTGACAGATACCCACAGTCCTCAGTGTTCGAGGAGTCAGAACCACTACACTTACTCTGGGATCAACAAACAACTCATCACGTGAAATCAAAGATCCGAACGCGTATGCAACGCTTACGTGCCTGCACGGAAGTCAGATCTATGTGACCCTAACCCCCCAGGTGCCTATTATATAGGGTACTAGAGCCCCTAAGGCCCTATATAGTAGGTACCTGGAGGGTTAGGGTGAAGCAGCAAGCCGAACTGAGAGCATGGCTTTTCCTTCTTCTTTGATGGCGACGCGCCTCTGCTGCCTGGACAATCTGACATCTTCCGAAGAAGCAGCCTCCTCTTGGCAGTACGCAGGCCCAGGCATCAATATACTAATGATACGTTGCCCACCATGTACGGCCATTGCACCGGACAGCCTTTGATAAACCAAACTGTGCTCTTCTATAGGCGACCATGTAAGCTGTGATTCCTTCCAGCCACTGCCAAGAAGACCCACAATGAACTCTGGGAGGCATGCTTTCAAGCACGGGGTGTTCGACCTACTGGATGAACTACCCAGAAGCCGGACAGTGGATGCTAGGCCTGGCTTGGGCGTCGGCGACGAGTCTGCGGACTCTGCTGCACCTGAGAAGAGATATGGAAACCGGTGAAACCCTAACCCCTCAGGGGGTTGTTCTTTCTTCGTCGGTGCATCCCTAGGTCCGGGATCAGGGACCGCCGTGAAACATCGAAGTGCTGCCCGTGTTTATTCTGCGAAACAACTCAACACCACACCGCGAAGTGCTGAAGCGCCTTGGAAGAATGTTCCGAACCCTCCTTGCAAGCGCTTACTCCATTGCATGGGCTCTAATCCCTGAATTTCGCACCCCACAATGCTGCGCTTGCAGTGGTCTGTAGCCAGCCTTCGCCGCCAGTGCCTGTCTTGTCCCTGCACGAGCCAGGAATCATCTGGATCACAAGCTCCGTGATGTGTCCATGTTTGCAGGGTGTACTGACTTTAAATCTGAAGCCACATGTCATTAACCCTGAACGCTAACAACTGCAGCGACGAGCCTAAACACTCTCAACTCTGAACCCTGGAGTCGGAATCCCGATTGAGCTTCGGTTAGCCATGATGGCGGCGAAGATGGCTCGAAGGGCGGCTGAAAACGCGCTCTCGACTGTCGCAGGCCTTTGCGTGAAACTGGCTCGGCTTTGATAGTCTAGGGTTGCCTCTTATGTCTCTCATTGCCTCCTGTGCGGGGGTGATTCATGCTCGTGATGACGATGATGATGTTGGTGATGAGTGATGACGGTGGTGATGGTGATGATGATGATGATGATGAGGATGATGCCGACCCAAAATCAAAACCCCAGCGCTGCTCTTGCCACCAGTAGTAGCTTTGACACACTTATTTCCGATTAACGGCTTTGTTGATGAAGCTACCTAGTCCAAAGCCGCAAGCATGCCTGTGTTGGGACGCTGGGCGTGAAGCAGACCTTGCACACCAAAGCAATGAACATACAGAATATGCCTGCTCACTTGGTGTAAGCCTTACTGGTACTAAGACCAAGTGGAACGTCACAGACAGCACGGCTTGTGAGAAACAGATTTCGGTGTCATGCAGCACCTGCGCTCCTACTGCAGGGTGCTGGGTCACGGACTTTGGCTTCGCCTGGCACAGGCCGGGTGCTGGGTGCTGCTTGCGTTTCAGGGGTTTTACATGGTCTAACGCTTTGGGGCACTTAAACATAACATGAACTGCGGGCTCGGGATTTCGGGCCTTGGTTCAGATGAGCAGCCAAGAAGAAGACTCTTTCTGCGAATGTGTCTGCTCTCTCCTCGTGACTTACAGTACTTCGGCATCCTTTCTCCGCAGGTAGGCATCCTGCAAGTACCGTACAAAAGCAGTAAGCCCTCGTGGCCCATGCAAGAAACTTTCGGTGCTTGCACGAGCCAAGCCACGCAGCTAGCAAGAGCGAAAGATTCGAGCAGGAGCTGGGGGTGCAAGGATTGTGGCATTATAGGCGGCGGGGTTGAAAGGTGACGTAGGTCACCAGCGAAATTTGGAAGCATCACAAGGATGGCCTTCTTACATTTGCCGCCCAACGTGTGAACTTAACAGTCGTAATCCTTCATTCGCAAGTTTCCGAGTCGCTGAAACAGAAACCTCTAAACTCTCAACAACAAAGTTTCAACCCTGGCATTACCGGCCTCCTCGCTACCTGGCTCACCTGCAGGCCTCAGTCGAACCAGCGGGAAAAATCATGTCTAGATCTGCATGTTCAGGGTCAGGGGCTCTGGGCTTCTTCACGGCGCTTTAGAAGGGCGATGAGAATTGAAATGGGGATGCTAAGACAGGGATGGTCCGATAGTATTCATGATCCTCGTGAAACCGGCATGGGCCTTAACCATCATCATCATCAGCAGCAGCATCATCATCAGCATCATCATCATCACCATCACCATCACCATCACCATCACCATCATCATCACCATCATCATCATCATCATCACCATCATCATCACCATCACCAACGTCATCTTCATAACCATAACTATGACTATGACCTTCACTATCATCGCCACCACGACGAGCGACCACGAGACCACATGCCCCAGCGACCAGTAGATGCATCGGTTGAGGTTGAAATGAGACCCACGTCATTGATCATGGGTAACAGGATACGAGAGAAAATCAATCGACCTCGATGGGCTATTCAGTTATGCAGTAGTGGGGGCCGCGGAATGGACATCTCAAGTTACGGACAGGCTGTCGGCCGGGTGTCTCGCGAGTTCAACATGCCAGGGTCTTCGAGGTCTCTAGTCCC